GTACACAAGCTTTTAATCACCAGGGAGGTGCTGAGAATTTTTTCCCCCAGGAAGGGAATCGAGAGGGGAGGAGGGAGGGATGGAGAAGAGGAAAGGAGGGGACGAAAGCAGCAGCAGGAGAGGTGAGAAAGACAAGGCGAAACAGGCCCAGTTGAGATGCTGCTTCTGCCACCTGGGCAGGGAACATGCTCTTGACCCTCACAAACCCTCCTGCACCACAGCAACGTGTGTGCCCGATGTGCACCCCACTTTAGGGCAGAGAGTTTATTTGAGCATTTTTCCTTCACAGTACTGGGTCCTTTGCTTAACCCGATGCTGAAAAGATACTGGTTCTTGGCAAAGTCAGAGTGGACAGAGCAGCAGGAGCAGGAACAACATTGCGGGTTGAATCAGACAGGCGGGTGTTCTAGGCAAGAAGCTGGGGAAGAGAAAGCTGTTGGCGCGAAGAAGGCTGAGTTGGAAAGCAGACTGCAGCCACCACGAAACTAGCAGCTGAGGAGAAACCAGCAGGAAAGACACTGACCAGAGAGGAAGCAGGCCAGCTGCGTACACTGTTCCGTTGACCTTCCGACCAGATGCAGTCATGGCGGACAGCTTATTTTGAATAAATAAGCTTTTGTGTTATCAAGAGTTAGCTCTCTGCAACTAAGTTAAGGGTCGGTAGTTTGAACTCACGAAGCAAGCACCACAGAGGAAAGGCCTGTCAATCTTCTTCTATAAAGACCCTCACTGAGAAAACCCTACTCAAACGTAGAGGGTCATGTAAGTGGGACTCCACTCAACAGCAAGTGGTCTAGTGTTTGCGTTTTATTTTGAATGAGGACACTGGAAGAGGCATCAAGGAAGAAAAGGTACACATTGAAGAATACCTAATAGGGCAATGAATGTACAAATGTGCTTTACACAATTGATGTACAGTGAACCCTCGCCACTTCGCAGCTTCACTCTATGGCGGTTTTTGCGTAACAGCGCATGCTCTGTCATTACTGCCACTGATTGGCTCATACTGTACACGCTTGATGCCATAAATAATATAATAATAAATGATAATTGTAACGTCCATAATGTTTTACTGTATTTTCCCTTTTTCGTTTAATAAATTGGGTAATACGAGTGTAATGGTGACTAAAGGGTGTTTTTTCATGTCCTCTATGCTCTAACTACGAAAATATTTGATTTACAAATAAGGAATCCTACTTCGCGGAATTTCATTTATCACGGTAGGGTCTAGAACCGATTAACCGCGATAAACAAGGGTTCACTGTATGTATGGATTGTGATAAGAGTTATATGAGCCCCTAATAAAACGATTAAAAAATACCTACTAACCAGCTGCCTTATGAATTATAACTTAGAATTAAATTTATTCTTTGCAGTTGCTACCACAATCGATTTCAAAACATTCTCTCCCTTCTTGAAATCCTTGACATCAGTTCCCCTTTAAACACCCCTCCCCACCGCACTGTACCCCCCAGGAACCCTTATTCTATGTGCTGTCTGTATAGGCTCATCAATCCTGGGTTTCATAGACTAATACTGCTCGATGTGATAGATGTCTGTCAAAACCAAATAAAATGGTTTTGAGAAAAAAATGTAAAATATTATGTAAGTCTAATAATTTAAGCTGAACCTTTCAGATTGGGAAGAGCAGAAAGTTTTAGTTTATTATTAAAAAGCAATTCATGAAATAAATAGATCAATAAAATGATTCCTTAAGATTGATCCTACTACCCAAGGAGATGATGTATACTTTTAATTGTGTCATTCATTTCAAAGAATCCTAAGTTTAACAGAGATGGTGAGTGAAGGATTCAGAAATGTTCTGTTGTGGTAATTGCTAACTTAATAGATTTCCATTGCACTTCACTGTGGGCTCATCGTGGAGTGGAAAAGAAGGACTTACAGTATACTCGTACTAACTGCCCTCAAGGCGATCCCAACGCAGCAACTCTGCAGGACAGAGCAGAACTGCCGCATGCAGTTTGCAAAGCTGCGACTCACTCCTGCAGCAGACCGCACGTCTCTGCACAGCAGATGATGGGTGGGATTAAGTGGCTGACCTCTGGGTAGCAGTTGACTGCTTAGCCACTGTGCCACTGGGGCTCCTTCGAAGTGCCTACACTAAGGTTTAAAGATGCGGAATAGGTTGATATAGTGGTCAATCTACTCTTAGTTACTTTAGCAAAGTAGTAGCTTTTAATTTGAAATCTCAAGTTATTTATTATAGGAAATTATGACCTCAGAAAATAGAAAGATTTTTTAAAAAATTATCTATCTCCCCACTGCATTTCATTTAAATCCTCTGTGTTTCTAATGAATATTTTTGACTTTCTTATCATTTTCTGTATATGTACTGTACTTGGCCAGTACAGAGACCAGCTATCTTTTTTTCCCCAAAACAGTGTTATTGGCACATAATTTACATATCATACAATTCAATAGTCAGTCATATCAAGAAGAATTGTAAAACCATTACTACAGGAACTTTAGAAAATTCCCCTCCGCTCTCCTCTCCCCCCATGGTTAAATTGCCTTGACCATGAGTGGGGCAAGCACCAGCAGCGTTAGTGCTCCCGCCCCGCCCCCCTTCATTGCTCCAATAGCGGCTATTGAGCAGGGCAGTATGGAGAGATGAAGAGTCAGGCAGAACTGAGTTAACATCTGGCTCTCCCACTTACTGATGTGAGTAATTCATTGAACTTGGACTCTGGGCCTCAAGTTCTTTCTCTGCAGAATGGAAATAATAATACCTATCTTGTAGTTAGCTTATTAGATACCTGGTTATTGTTGTTGGCATCATTATTTAACTTTTAGAGAATTTTTTGTTGCTCCATCAAGCCTGGGTGTATTAATCATAATGCATGATTTTTGACATTAAGCTTGCTTTTAATATGTTGCCACTTTAAAGAATTCACAAATATAGCTCTTGGGTCAGGGAGAGACTGCTAGTCAAATTAAGGTTCATTCTTTCGGATGGATTCAAGTAGGAACATTTTTTAAAACATTTTATTAGGGGCTCATACAACTGTTATCACAATCCATACACACATCAATTGTGTAAAGCACATTTGTACATCATTC